TGTCACGTTATTGGGTTTTTGTTTGTTTGATTTGTTTTTTTTGGTCTTTGGTTGATTTTTATTTATCAATAAAACAATACTACAAAACATGGGAAACAGCTGCATTAAATATAGATCTGCAGTTACTTTGCCAACTTTTAACCTGCTGTATTTACAGAGTTTTCTTGCCACCTCCACATAAATATTGATCAGAAGGGACCCAATGGATAGGTACCACCAGCCGAGTCACTGAAGGGCTGCACAAAGACCCTGCCTCCCCTGGTATGTTTCATAAGGAATGGCAATCTGACAGAGAGCGAGATGCAGACTTCAGCTGCATTCTGTGCTAGCTAGAGCCAGCCTGCTGTGTCTCTATTCCCTGCAATCCCTGCTGTAGACAGGGTGACCAGACAGCAAGTGTGAAAAATCGGGACGGGGGTGGGGGGTAATAGGAGCCTATATAAGGAAAAGGCCCAAATATCGGGACTGTCCCTATAAAATCGGGAGATCTGGTCACCCTAGCTGTAGATCTCATCTTTGCCCTGTTCCTGCTATCTTTAAAGAAGGACAAGGATGCTGTTGCGGGATAGGGCATGCACTGACCTTTCAGAGCTGATAAAATTTCACAAACCATCCCAGTCCCACCCCTGAGCCCCGATATCTTTAGAAAGGATCCTTTTTCACTGTGCATTATATCAAGCCAATTTCCATGGTTTTAAGTCACTCCCGTTTTATTGAGCTTTTAGACATGGTATTAATTTACTGCCTTTTATATTGAGCCTTTGGACAGTTCTGACAGTTAACTTATTTCCTTCCCTGCCTGAAAGCTGCATCCTGTGGCATTTGCTAATATCAGGGAGTGGAGAGAGTAACCGAAGTATTAACCTGTAACCTTCCAGTCAGAGACCTCCATCTCCATGCTCCGACAGCTTTTCATTTACTAGGTCAGAGATGCACTACATCTCCAGGAAGCTGTCCTGTCCTCTGACAAAGATCTGGACAAGTGACTTGTTCGGAGTGCTATTCCTCCCACTCACAAGACCTGTCCAGCCTTTTAAAATAAAGTTTCATAATTTCATGTCCAGCACAGGATAAGATTAAAATTTAGGTTGGGATTACTGAGCTTCTGGTTTCCTACAATCTAGAGATGGGGTGGACTTGAACTTAATAAACAGAGATGGGGTGGACTTGAACTACTTGCTGATACCACATGGTATCAAAGAAAAAAGCCTTCTACTCCATGTACAATACAACACATAGTTGGATTGTGATTATAACTGCAGCCAACTATTGGGCAGAGACTGTAACCTGAAAACTCACTATAAATTAGCACCAGTCTTAAATAAAAGAAAATAAAAACCACCTGCCATCCTCCTCCCACCCCCTGTAGGATTACTACAAAGATCAAAACTCACGTTCCTGCTAAGAATTACACCACCAACCACCAGGGGAAATTGAAAATGTTTTTACATAGTAGCCAATGGACAAGCTGAAACCTCCCCAGGACACCAAGTAAGAGCCAAAGCTTGATCATCAGTAGAGCTGAGAAGGGAAAGGATGGCAGAGGCGTGTGAACAGGGAACAAGAACCAAAGGAGCAATTTTAAATGTATTTTTATTTTCCCCTTCTCTGAGAATCAGAGATTGAGCGAGTGATGAAGAGTTGGATTAAGCTGGAAAGAGCCCAGTGTAAGGACTTTTTACATGAGCACTGGAGGGATCGAAAGAAGAAGAGAGGCAGAGAGTGGGTTGAATCACAAAAGAGTATTTCAAAGTGTTTCCTTTTCCTCCTGATTTGTTGTGCCTCATCCTTATATCACTGGTCAGTACAGAAGAAGAGCTGGTTTTTTGTGAGCACTGAAGGGAATTATCACAACCCATTCCTTTTCTTCTCCTGGAGGTTCCTTACACGCAGAGCCGAACCTCACTAATATGCATTTGGCTAAACTCTACTATGCATAATCCACACCAAAAAAAATATGACTGTCTCTCCACTCATCTTAACAAAGATTTGGTAGCAATGACAGTTATAGTGAAGCATCGGATCATTACCAGCACCATTTTTGAAAAATATACACCAAACACCAACTATAAAATAATAATAATTAATAAAAAACTAAAACATAATCAAGTATTATCTTAACTAAGTAAAGCCAAAGTAAATGAATGAATTAGTAAGGCTCTACTGCACCGTGCTTTGTGATCTCTTGAGACATTAAGGGAAAGCAAAGAACTTTTGTGAAACTAAAACATTCAGTCCCTGAGGGGGTTCTTTTGTCTTTGTGCATATGACCTACACGTCCATGAAAATAGCATGGATCTGTTGTGGTCATCAATGAGATCTCAAGAACTCAGAAGTCTTAAAGGAACTTTGGTGGGTATGAATGAAGAGGTTCATCTTGTATTCCATAGATGAAATTCACTCCTGTCTGAAATCCAGTCCCAGGCAGAAGCCCTGCACAGGCCTTGCATCACTTTAAAATAGCTCTTAAATAGGATTTCTGGAAAACAATCATCCTTGAACTCTGAGGGATCACTGACTGCTACGACTAAATGGGATTTAAGAAAAGGGACTAGAGCTGGTCAAAATATGCTGTTTCATCGCAGCCTCCACATTTTGATTTTGACAAAGTTTTCAATAGGAAGGTTTTCTGAGCGCCAGTGTTTTCTAGTCACTTCTGACCAGGGAGAGACCCAAATGAAAAACCCGACCTTTCCAACTGGAAAACAATGTTTTGACACAATTCCGAAATGTTGCCAAAAATGTTTGTAAGGTTTTGTTTTCATTGTAATGTGGACCAAAAATACATTTTGAAACTATGCAAGTTGTTGCAAAATAGAATTGTTGTCCTCTGGCCAGGCCTAAAAGTGGCCACGCAATCCTGTTTTACTGAGCCTGCTCCAGTTTTTCAGACGATATCCTGGTGTCCGGGGAGCTTCTTTCAGGACATCTGATGTGTTGCAGTTTATCATTTAATCAATCAAAATATTTGGTTTTTTATAACTACAAAATAGTTGTTCACAACATAGTGCTGTGCCTAGTAGAATTTGCTTTATGTTTACAAGGAAGAAACATTTCAGTGGATTGAGTGTTCCATTTGATGAATACTATTTGGAGTGAAGTGAAAGGAAAAATCAAGTCAACTGAGTAAATTATTATTTATACAATAATATACTCAGCTCTAATACAGGCCAGTCACATCCCTCTTTATTTTCTATGCTATCTGCATTGTTTTACTAGCTGCTGCAGTATTTTCAAAATCACTGCCTTACACTAATCCTACAACTCTACTAAAATGGATCATTGATTGAATGACTGTGGACAGCTGTTGTCTGGGAAACTGCACATGAAGCCATGAAGCAAGTGAACAGTGATGGACTTCCTAGCCTCACACTGACAGTTTGGCCATTTGGTCAGAGATTTCATTTCACAACATCACAATCTACCAACATTTCCTCACAGTTTTTCCTGCCTGTTTTCTGTATTCTACACCATCACCTCAGCCCCATGCAGTAGTTGGTTGGTTTAGAAAAAAATCAGCTGAGATCTATAATGGCTATTGGAAACCACAAAGGAAACAATTTAAAGGCCACCATACCCACATTGCTGGTTCTACAGAGCTGATACAGAGCAGATAACACAAAGCAATAATGTGACAGAATTGTATAAGTTAGGGATGGATAAGTTAGACCATCAGGCCCATATTGCTACCAAGCCATGGTCCTGTGTAGGCTGCCAGTTACAAAGGCTTGGCACAATATGGTGTAATATACAAACTAGTGCAGTGCACCACACTTGCACTACACCACACCATTTAACTTCCATAAACACTTTGCTTTCCATATGCTTGTGTGGATTTTGTAACAGTAGCCAAATCTCTTCCATGGGGACACACCATTTGCAGAGAGCCCTGTAGATCTTGGATCCTGTCAGCATCCCTCAAGAACTAGCCATCAGAAGGAACTGTCCTTGAAGATCAGGAAGGTATCAATGATAAATAACTATCTGAAAAACTCAGTGACACAAGTGCATAACTGTCCCCTTTCTCCTGCCTCTTTCATATCTAGATTGCTTGCAGCTGTGGTACTTAACTGGAATTGCACTAGGAACTATATGAATTGGGAGTGAGTCAGTGGGGTCACATCAGTGGAGTGTGAGATCAGAATCAGACCGGAGAATATTATAAGTATACCAGGATTGAGCTCCAATTATCCACTAGACAGCTGTGCAGAAAGGGGAAAAAATATGACAGCAATCTCAAACTGTGTGTGCTGTTCAAATGCAAAAAGCTCTTGTGGGAAAGGATTAAAAATAGTTCCCACTTGCCCCCCCAACAGCTTCCCTCTCCTTCTATCTTTGCAACACCTAGGGGAGAAACCTTCTAAAGATCTAACTGCTCTTATGCACAGCTGAATGCTAGTGTGCATTGCTGATCCAGCTATGGAATGTGACACATGCCTTGGGTGGATGACAAGGGGACCCGACACAGAGAAAGTTCCACAGCTGTTCCTTTTTCTTTGTACCACATCTCTCCTTATGGGCCTTTCCCTTCCCTTGCTCGATGCCCTACATTTCCCCCATTTGTAATTCATCCATTGTCTTCAATGAAGACTCCTTGTCAAGCCATATTAAAAAGTACAGAAGAAAAATAAATATCCCCCTCTTCAGATGTTTTCCTTTCCTAAGCTCTCACAGTTCCATGTAGTTTCCCAGAGGAAGTATCATAGTAGAAGGTAGTCCATATCTCTGATGAGATGAGGTCATTCCCACAAGTGCTGCTTTTGATGACAGTACTTTCAGCAGTGGCATCAGAAAAAAACATATACATAGGATGGGCAGGTAGTAAACAAGTTGCCACATCCACTGAGCTGTAATTTATGGCCCATCTCTAAATTAAAATAGGAAACAACAGAGTTCAAGGGGAATTACCTCCAATCTACGACATAACCGGTAACATCAACTGGTGCTAAATTATAGTGTAACATGTCAGCATGTATACATCTTTATATATGACAACTAAATGATACCAAATGATTTATTATGATTAGTCCCATTACAATGTATATGAAATGATTTTTTTAAATGGTGAGACACAAAAGAGTAGCAGATTTGCAGCCACACAATTTCACAATACTGATAGCTGTATGTTTTTGCTAGACTACTGTATAACGCCTAAAGCAGTATATGGACGCTATTAATATCTAATTGCTCTCTTCATTGCTAGTGATTCTAAACAAAACAGCATGTTTCTCTGCCAGAAGTGCAGCTAAGGCAGAATGATAATAGCTACAGTTATATCTACCATTGAAGACCCACTGCTTCTGCAAATAGGCAGTTTGTCTGGTAGTTGGACCAGATATGGCCAACAGATGCCATTCCAAGAATGACTACTCTCAGATCACAGGTATCTCCCCTCAAGCATCTCTTTCTTTCAGGATTTTATTTTTAACAGGGAAATACAGCAGGCTAAAAGCTACATGTTTTACATACCACAGTAAAAACAGTTACTGAGTTATATTTGCTAGAGTCACAGTAGTTTATGTATATTTGCTATTCACAGACTGCAGAATATTGCCAAATAACCTCACTGGTGGGGACTGACAACATGGAGATACATGCATTCATGTGAGACCATAATCAATGATGTCTATACTGTATTAAGCACATTCATTTTTTTAAACACCTTCCAGTAAAGTTGATTCCTTTAAACTTTTAGTTAAAACGGCTTTTTTTTACAATTACGCACAAAATAACCTGTAAACAAGTTGACATTACACTTATGTACAAGTGAACCACATTGGAAAGTAGAAGAGGTAATTCAGTGGGTGCCACTTGATATACATCAATGTGCAACAGAGTGACTCAGGCCTGGCAAAGTCATTAAGTGCTTGTATGAGGTCAGAAAAAGTAACATGAGCAAGGCCCCGTATAGATCACAATATCACAGAAGTCACAAAAGAAACACAAAATCCTATGTTTGCTGTGGAAATATTGCATTAGATGCATTTACTCCTCTACGGTTGTGTGTCTATATGAAATCTAAAGAGTTGAGTAATATTTTTGGATAGCTCAGTACCAACTGCTGACAAAAGGCCAAAATCCTCTTCTAACATTCCCTCCTATACTCCGGTTTCTCTGCATATGAGACGCTCCCATTGATGATGTCAATGAGAGAGCCAAGTGTGAACCAGAGCAGAGATTTCTAGTGGAGCTGAGACAAGTAATTTTGCCCATTAAAGCAATTGGGCCTGATGATACACCCATTGACATCAATAGGAGTTCTGTTTCTGTTCTAAAGACCACTTCCTTTTTATTTGTTCCTTGCCATAGATTCAAATTCACAACGTCATAATCATAAGCCGATTAGCAATATCAATGCCAAGAAACATAAAGTATGTCTTTAATGATTTGAACAGTGCTTTCTTGTCCCTTTCCAATACTCCACATACAAAACCCCTTTGGGCATGAACAATCCACGATACCTGGCAATGTTTTGTACCATGATTTACATGGGGCCTTATACATAAGGTATTTGTAAAGTAAAGTCTACATGCATACACACAACTGATTAAATGGGGTGTATGGAAGGGTAAAAATGGGACTACCTTCTTATGGTTTTTAGGGCAAAGAAGTGGTGGGATGAGTGGGGGGGATCACCTGGTTAAATTCTGGTCATTGCCAATAGCGATCAGACTTGCTTTCATTTTCTACTTCAGCACAATTCTTTGCGAAGAAAAAGACCAAATGGACCCATCAGAACTTGAATGAAAGTACAAAACCTTCCCTCCACTGTCACACTGCTATGAATCATTTACACAACATTGGGAAGTACTGCACTTACAGATAACCTAGGAAAAAAATACCTGGGCTTATGGAGATTTGTGTGCTCTTCTTTCCTCTCCCTTTTATGCTTTGAGTTCTACTTAGCTTATCTAGAGGTATATCTCTGTGTTTATATTTATGAAAATGAAACCCCTTCAGAAGCGACAAGATTATTTTTTCAGATGGCCACCTTAGAACCTGCAAGTCAAATCCACTTCTTGAGGAAGAGAACACAAATCCACGGAAGCCCACAGAGTTGCACCTACTTACACCAGTGGCAAATTTATCATTGGATGGCTCCCATACCACAGGGGTACAACACACCATCATGGTTGTGAAAGGTAGCTGATGGCAGCTGCATAATGTATTCAGAATACATTCACTCCAAGGTGCACTTGTGCTATTTACAATAGAACTTTTTAAACTATGTCTTAAGCAAATCATCAACTGTACCTAAAAGATCACAAAAGGGAACAAGTTAACCAAAGACTGGTTTTGCAATGCCTTCACAGAAGTAATAAGGCCTGTTCACCACGCAATACAGGTGGATTTGTGCCACATTAAAGGTTATCAGCTTTCCTCTCACTCACTCTCAGACACACATATTTTTATTACTAATAGAAGTTTTATTTGATATTCTGGTCCCAATGAACTCAATGGAAGTTTTGAAATGGACTTCAAAGGAACTTGGATTTGGCCCTTATTATGTGTGGAAAATAACTCAAATATCCAGTTTGTTCCCCAGATATTTCAGAAACGTAATTGCATTGCAATTTGACTTCATGTCCATGATATAACTGACCACACATAGTCTAACAGTGGGCATATATGTCTGAATAAAAATAAAATAAAAATGACTGAACCCAAATTCTCAATCCAAACTCAAGCCCAATAAACATTTTTAGAGCTCAAAATATTATCTTTAGAGTTTTGTTATTTCAATTTCATTTTCACACTCTCTGTATTACCTGGCATCTACCAGAAACAGAAATAGCAAAACAAAACAAAAAAACAAAAAAAAGCATAATTTTCTGGTATTTCTCACTAAAGCAAAAAAGTAATGGAAATATTACTAGAAAGGCGAGTCTCACACCATATCTGGTTCTATTTCTAGACCAAACCTGTATGTATAAGAATCCTAAAGTTAGCATGCTTAATCAAATGGAATTTACCAAGCTTAGCCCTTACCTAATAAGTATTTTCCACTGTATTTTACTTCCAAGTTGAAACCTGCTGCCATTAAAAATCACTGGCAGTTTTTTGCCAGTGATTTTAACAGGAGTTGGATTGGACCTTTTGCCTCTTGCAACTATATTCATACATTTGTAAGCAGCTGATATGTTACCTTAAGTTGCAAATACAGAATGCTTTGTTTTTGCTATCAGTATCTGGCGTCTGATCCTTTGTTCTAACCAGAAACATTTTTTTTTACTAAGGAAGAAAGGAATGTACTGTTGGCAAATTTTAAACAAGTGACTTTGTAAGGGAATTGCCTGGTGATTTCCACATTCACAATGGAAGAAAATTCTGTTGCAAAGGCAAATTCCCAGGTCAAAGGTGCACAACCAACCCGGGGATGCATTACAGAATCAGTTCTTTTTAAGAATGAAATTGAAATAGCTGACGGTCGACTCCTCCCCTCGGGTATGCACATAAAGCTTCTATTGACATCAATGGGAGTTGTACATGGGTATATGAGGGCACAATTTAGCTCCTAATAATTGTTTCCAAAATAGGCTAATTTCTTAAGCCCAATTGGCTAAGCTTGTAGGGACAATATTGCTGCTGCTGAAGTCAATAAGACTTTTGCCATTTGGCAGGCTTATTTCTAGAGGAAAGGATAGGTTCTTTGCACCAGTGTAAATCAATCCTCTGCGAGTTTTTTACCTTTCTTCTTCTGCTATCATTTCTTCTTCCCTCTTTCAGTTTTCTCATTCACATCCATAAGGATAGATAGGACTACAGCCCTGACAATTGTTTGCTACCTCATTTAGTAGAGCCAGGGGGAAATGCTTGAAAGGCCCATGTGAAATGAAAAGGATCCTTACATTTTGAAAAAAGAACAGGAGTACTTGTGGCACCTTACAAATTTGTTAGTCTCTAAGGTGCCACAAGTACTCCTGTTCTTTTTGCGGATACAGACTAACACGCTGCTACTCTGAAACCTTACATTTTGAGTAAGGATAACATTTCACTTCCATTATAGTTCTGACAGCTGCGACAGGTACAATTTTGCTACTCGCCTTCTGCAGGAATTACTCCTGCATCTTCTAACAGAGCGCTATGAGTGGTCCTGTGCCCTATAAATCTACGAGAACAAACAACTCCATAAAGTGCTGTGTGTGTGCGTGCGTACACACACACACACATACACACTGATCAAGTTTATATATCACAGTTCTCCGAGAAGAAAAAAAATCAGCCCCTCGTTACATCTCTCTGTACTGTCAGCTGCTTGTGTTTATTACGGGGCTGGGTAAAGGACCCGCTGCTCAGTTCTAAACCATTGCTGCATGTAAATGAATGAAAAGGCCAGCACTGAGATCAGGCTGACAAGAAAAAAAGAGTCTGTACAGTGAAGAGAGTTGATATCCTAATGTAAGAATTGTGACTACCACTGTCACATTGAGTAACAGAAAAATTACCCTGTCTGGACAATGCCCACGACAGCTCCTAATTTGGGGGTATGTAATTTCCCACCATTTCTTCTACTTTAGTGTTAATGAAAGGTGCCAGAGTGACACTTCTAGAGTCCAAAGTCCTCTCTCCACGGAATGTGCACATCAGAGGCAGAAGCTTCGCACATATCAACCCCTCCACCAATACCACTGACAATTAAGGCTTGATTGTGGCTTTATTCTTCAGACAGTAGTGGGTAGGACAGCCCCACTCCACACCAGAAGCACCAGACAGACAGGCAAATCTCTCTGCAGCTTTTCTGCGTGCACTGGAGGGGAACCCAGGGAGGGAGGAAGGAGGAGTGTGGGTGGGAACAATTTCCCTGGTGCACCAGCCTGCAGCTAATGGGGGGAGAGGGAGGACAGCCGACATCCCACCCCTTTTTGACATCCCGTTTCCTGAGCAGAAAGCATGAGCAAACAGCCCCTTCATTCTACAAAGCATAGGGTGCACAGGGCCTACTATGTGGGAAATTCTTGCATAGCTATGCAAATTGGGGTCTGGCTTCTTGTGCACCACCCAGAGCCTGAGCAGACAAGCAAAAGGGCCTCTGATAATCAAACCCCCAGAGAGGCCAAATTCCTCCCTCAGATTCCCATGCACCTACAAGAAATTAACCCAGTACAAACAGCAAGAATGAGGATAACATGGGGGGATAGTTTATATGCCTATTACACCCCATATCACTGAACACTCCCTACTATCCTACTGGCCCATCATCCCACTGAGCACTGCACTTTTACATTGTACATGTTCCCCTTGCAGTTCGTCTATTCGTCTGCTTGTCTCACATTGCAGGCCTGTCAGGGCAGGGACTGTGCCCTCCGTCATTAGCACAGCACTCATCACATTATGGGTGCTCCTGCAAACAAGTGACGATATAAGACTCGGTTTTTTAAAAGGGCCTAAGGGAGTTAGGCACTCATCATCTATTGAAAGTTGGCACCTAAGTTCCTTAAGTCCCAGCCATAATTAACAATAACCTAGAGGGAACATCTTTAAGGGGAAAATATAGTCCAGTGTCCCTTCCTATCTGGCCATTTTGCCACAGAACCCAGTCAGTGCATGCTATTTCTTACTCTCCTTTCTGAAGCTGATATTCCCAGCAGAACGGTTTGTCTTTTTGAATAAGTGCCTAATTTTAGAGGATTGCTATGTCTAGGGTTCCGCTTGCATTGAGTAACAGGCTGTAAAAAACTGGAACTTATGCATTTGTTTCTGCACAGCGGTACAGCACTTACGCTGCCATGCGGGAGCTGTGAGTTCCACATCAGCTTTCTAGCTCTGAGGCTAGGAAGGGATTGGGAAAACTCTTTGATACATACAGGCAGCAACGGGGACAAGTTTGAGTTGAGTCCTCTCTGGGCTGTATTTAGGATACTTCCCATGCAGAGCTGTCCAAGCTCCTTCCCAAGGCTGCACGTACCCCAAACAGAAGAATTTACCTAAGACTCTTATGGACAAAAAGCATTTCACTGAGGAGCCAGATTCTCATTTTCACTAAGGCTTCGTACACCAATCCAGCACTGCAAACCAATCTCAAAGTGGGTGACTTTACATTGCCAAAGCCGTGCAAAGTTATGCCTACACATGGAGCTGGGGGTGCAATTCCCAGCTTACTCTGATTGAACTAGCACATTAAATATAATAGTGTCACCGCAGCAGCCGGGCTCACCACCAGAGTACAGACTCATGGGGTTTGTCCTCAGGCTAACTAGCCTCTCCCACCACTCACCGCAGTCCATGCTACCGGGACTACATACAGTAACTCCTCACTTAAAGTCGCCCCAGTTAACGTTGTTGCGTTATTAGGTTGCTGATCTATTATAGAACATACTTGTTTAAAGTTGTGCAATGTTCCATTATAAGGTTGTTTGGCTCCCCTGCTCCGCCCACAGCTCCTGCCATGGAATGGGGTCAGGGCGTGGAGGCTTGTCCCGCTCCACCCACCTGGCATTCCAACTGGGGAGCAGGCAAGCCCCCGACCTCGCTCCCCGGCAGGAGTGCTGGTCAGACGGAATGGGGCAAGCCCCCGTGTCCCGACCCCGCTATGCTCTGCCTCAACCAAGCTTCACAATCATCATTGGTGAGTACGGTATTAAATTGTTTGTTTACAATTATTTAAAACTTATACTGTATATGTATATAATGTCTTTTGTCTGGCAAAAAAAATTTCCCTGGAACCTAACTCCCCCTATTTACATTAATTCGTATGGGGAAATTGGATTCACTTAACATCATTTCATTTAAAGTTGCATTTTTCAGGAACAGAAGTTCCTACGTTAAGCAAGGAGCATTTTTAGCATGCTAGCTCGGAGAGAGCTAGCATGACTACGTCTACACAAGCTGGGATTCACCCCTGCAGCTTTAACAGTAAACACCCTTAGAATCAGGCCCAGGAAGTCTATACTGATGTTACACAAGTGGAGCAATTGAAATAATGAGGAGCATGACCTGAAATGGAGAGCTGAAATCACCAGGGCACAAAGCTATCTCTGATGGAACTTCACCATTGTCAATGGAGTTAAACCTGGGATAAATTTGGTCCTAGGAATGGATACACTATATAAGTACCCACAGTAACAAAGCAGAATATACATATAAGCTTTGCGGCTAGTGATTATTAAAGTTCAAGACTCTTATTTCAGTAGTGGTGCCATTTCATCTAAAACGGGGAATATGAAGGCCACATGAATCAAACCCATTCTGGTGCATTTCATTTGGTCTAATTTTTCCTGCAGGTATTAATCATTGTACAGTCCTGTGCAAATTGAGTCAAGTCCATTCAAACTCTGAGAGAAAGAAAGAAAAACAGGGTACACTCTCCCTCTCTCTGTCCTTCATATTGTGTAATACAATGTTTTGGAGATTAAAAAGAAAAAGAAAAAGTGAAACTCTGAAGCTGAGGATGTCAGGTTCTAGCCATTCTGAGTTATCGAAGTAGACAATTGGTCTATGTTGTGTATGGAAATCTCGAATTCCTGCTGAAGCGAGAGCGAGAGTCAACCCTCTGCTCATTTTTCTCCCTAATTTGCTAATGCAATGAATTAATGTTAGACTTCTTCCTTGTGACTCGCAGAGAGCAGAACTGATAGTGGAGGAGGATTCTGCATAATGCCTGATGGTATCAAAACCTTGCAAAAAGGAAAAGGCTCACTTTCCGATTTGGCATGTCTGGCTGATGATACTGACTGGGTCAAAATAGAAAAATCACAGTTTCCAAGTCTTAAAGTGTCAGAGACAACGGAGCTGCTCTCTGGTGTGGACATAACAAGCAAGAGAAAAAGCACCATTTAAGCCAATCCGTATGTCTTGGAAGCCAGCCTAGTGTTCTTGCTTTGCATCGACTCACACAAGGGAAGTTGCAGGCAAACTTTTTAACACAGTGCTCTCAAGAGTGATTCCAGTACAGCAGCTGTAAATAGGGACGAGTGAATGTACAAGAAAGACAATTGTTTTTAAAAAGAGGAAAAGCAAATCTGTGGCAAGCAGAGGGATGTATGTGTGCAAGCACATGGATGTGCAAAGGTGCATGTGAATATGTGTGCACAGGCATGTGAATATGGGTAGGTGTGCATCTGAAATGCATGTGTTTGAGTGTGAACATGTGTTTTAACAACTGAATTAGTTTAGTGCCTGATCCTGAGTAGTGCGGAGCTGTCCAATTTAGCTCAGCACTTCTCAGGTCAGGCTTTTGCTTACTATATTTACTCTACACGTGACAATAATTAGGAATCACTAGAACTAGCATCCCTCTCTCATGTAAAACATCTTGGTAAACTTGCAAACCTTAACTAGAGATGACTCCAAGCTACAAAATCCAGATCTCATATCCCAGTAATTTGAGGGTGTTTCGATCTGGGGATTTGGTTCATGCTCAGCTCTGTCCACAAGCATCTCACATTTTGCAATAGTTTGAGACATGTCACTTCCCGTTTGCATGTGCAATTAGCACTCACAAAACCTGTGCCTGCATGGCACTTGCAGTTCAATGGTAGGCACAAATCTGAATGATAGTACCTTTACCTACCTGATTATGCAGCTTTGCCCCCACAGTTCATTTTGCAGGTGCAAAAAATATATATATAAGAGCATATTATGTGGGAGAAAATTGCACCTGCAGGCAAGGAGACTGGGACTCAGACCTACTCAAGTATACTATGTTCAATCCAAATGTACCTCTATTCTATGCACACTTGAAGTCATCTCCCTTGTAGCATTGTGAATTGGGAATGCTAGATAGTGAAACTGAGGCTTTAGAAATGTTACTGATGCTAAACAAGGCAATATCACCGCTTTTAAAGCTATCGTCTTTATTAGTTTCTGTGTCTCTCACTTTATGTCTTGAGACATGTGCCAAACTCCCCAGCTAACCAGCTTCCATCTGCAGCCAGTGGAAGGCCCATGTGGACCCATTGATGCAATGCATCTCTAGGTAACTGCTTTACAGACTGTTCAGACACCAATTTCATCCCACCAGATGCAGTCTGTACCTGGGACTCCCCTTCAGTACCCGACTCTTAACTTTTCAAATCCCATCCATGGGACCTTTGGCTCCCACTGGACTGTTGAGGGACATCAGGTTCTTACTGGTCTGCCTAAAGAATTAGCTTCGGAATGACAACTAAGATGCAGTTAGCTAGGCGAACCTGTCACGGAAGGACTGTGCTTTTTTGTTGTTGTTGCCTGGGCTCAGTAGGTTCTTGTACTGCTGTGCCTGCGTGCGGCCTCCCTTCCTCCCCGCAGTCCCATCAAACTGAGCTTGCTGATATTTTCCCGTTTATTATACATTATGGGTAACACATGGTACTAAATTAAGCCTGCCACCCACCGGATTATCCTACAGACTACAGAAAGGATGCTGATAAGGCAGTTTCCATTACAGAGTGTGTTTGGTTTCTATTCAATTTTTAATTTCCTTTTGAAATGTATCTAGCTGGAATGGCGTGGTGCCTGCCATTTTAACAATCAATTTCCTGCCAGTCAGAGCACAAAATGCATCTTATTAGGTTTATAATTTCTTATAATTGCATCTGCGTTGGATGGGAACGGGAGGCTGCTCTCCTCATTTATTTGGGCCAAAGACTCTTTGGCAGCAGGGTCTGGCAGGCTTACATAAATCAGCTGAGCTCACCGACTCAGCGACTTGACCCGCCATCAATGGATCCCCTTTCCAATTGGAATCATTCCATAATAAACCCTTTGTCATCCGGAAGCTTTGGGGAAGAAGTGTTGGAACAAAGATTAAAATATATATTGTTATCAAAAACTCATAGAATATTTTGCCCACAGTTGCAACAGACACAAGCACTTTTACAGTGCTCCGCTTCCAACCTCCCCTCGCCCCCAAAAATAACAGATGGAGAGAGACAGTCTTCTACTATTCACACCTCATAAAGCTAGAGGGGAAATGGAGCACACAGAGTGCTAACAATTGCTTTTTTTGTTGTTGTTGAGAAAGTGCAGTTATAAGGAGAGAACCAGAAAAATTTGTTAGGCAATATAAATATACACACATGTATATGTATATTCATGTGTATATATACGTATATATATACACATCCTTCATGTAAACTGGCACGACATAGCTTGTTCCTTTAAATCATGTACATCTGCCCTGCCCTGACTCCTCCAAATAAAGGAATTAAAAGGAGAACTCAAAAGGCATGTAGTTTGCGGAACCCCCCACAGCCACTGCCTGATCATGTGTAGGACTTTCTCCACCGGCACCAGGTGCATCTGTGTGTGGGTTTCTTTAGTTGGTGATGTTGTTGTGCCTTTCGTGTATAAAGTATTCAGCTTGCGTAAGACTAGGAGCTTACAAACAAAAGCATTTTTCATTGTGCTTCCACAACTTGAAAAATATCATTACCCTGTGACTATAAATGTTAAGGTGAAATAGGCAAATTAGGCAGTACTATCAAGATGGATTTTTTTTTGTGACCTAACAAATTGTTATTATTCCTTTTATTTCCGTATCATTAAGGATCTTGATCTGTAAATTGTAATAAGGTTATTTCCCCACTGCCCCGCCCCGCTCTTATAGATGATACTTTCGTAGCAGTTCGGATTGCCAGGGGTGTTTCCTTTCTGGAAACCTGTCTGGGATTTTGATTTTAAGGAAATCCTGGATGCATTTTTCTAACTCTTCCTCAATAGAGAGCTTTTCTTTCACTGCTTTTTTTTTGCTAGAGTTGGATTCCCTGGAGCCAGACGTTAGAGTTCGGAGCAGGTCACTTTTTCTTCGGATTTCAGACTGCTGAAGTAGCTGTACTGGGCCCTTCTTGATTGGTCGATCTAGAGTCTGTATGTTGGGCTGGCGGGTGACCGGGCCACAGATGACAGTCTCTTGTGGGGAGCTGGCTTCTGATTGGCTGTCACAGCTGGAAGTGGATAGTTCATTGCAAGATGTGCCACTTTCCCCCTCTTTATCTCCTTTGCCATTTTTGCAGCAGCAGTCACAATGGGATGAAGACCACCTTGAAGGCTCACCTAAAAGAAGGAACAAAGCACACAGTGTGGTTACAAAAAGCACGGACATCTGGGCTGTCGTACACACACAGCAGGGTATTCCTTCATATGCCACCAAATAAACTACTGTCTATTAAGTACACTTGTGCTAGTAGAAGAAAATGGGGAGGAAAGGAATCAGGTATAGTGGTTAGAGCAGGAAAAGCATCTCAGAACTCCTAGGTTCTAGGCTCAGTTTTCTCAGTATAATCTTGGGTAAGTCAGTATGGCCAACATCTTATACACATGGATCAGGACCTTAAACTCGCTGGGACTGATTCTCATTAACAATAATGCCCCTTTATTCCACTCTGGCAGTGTAAAGGGGCGTTAAGTCCACTTTAAGGCCCCTTTAGATTGCCAGAGCAGGGCAAGAGCCCTTAGTGCAAGTGAGAATCTGTTCATCTGTGTTTCAGTTTATGTATGTGTAAAATGGTTTTACTGTGAGACTTAATTAATGAATGTTTGAAAAGTGCTTTGAGATCCTCAGATGAAACCACTATATTAATGCAAAGAACAGTGTTGTTATTTTCTGAAAAGTGAACGATGATTGTTTCAGAAAGCCAGGGGTAAGTCTCAGGAGTGGTTTATTTGCTACTAACTCCATAGCAATTTACTAACGGGCCAAATCCTGAGATGCTCACTCAGATTCTTCATAGGCAAATTCCCACTGACTACAAGACCTGAATAAATTCAGAGTAAGGTCTTCAACCTTTGGCCCATCCCTTCAACCCTCACATTAGTAGTTCCATTGATGCCACTAAGATTACCTAGGTAAAAAAGGGTGTAGGATTTAGCCCAAGATCACTAATCCAGAAAAATAGGTAAATTATAAACTGACAACAAAATGGAGCCAATATCCAACTGGTTGTGCTTCAGCAAAAATCCAGTGTTTAAGCTAGTGCCTGCTGCCAATTCATGGCCAAAGTTATGGCCTATCAATATGTGAATGGTCCAGAAGCTCATTCTAGTGCTTGGTCTTCCAAAGGTTTTGATTTAATGAGTAAAGGGCCAGGCAGAAGGGAACAAAACATGCTTGAAGAGAATAGAATGAAGATATAATTCTTGTTCACAGAACAGGTGTCTCAGAATAAAAATCAAGCTACCTCTGAAACAGCTGCATAGACCTAGGAATTTTCTTACTTAGGATAGTCAAACTGTTCAGGTATTGACTGATGAAATGTTATTCTATGTCCCATTCAAATTTCCCCTTTAATAGTATGTCGTCAAGTTTGATAGGCTCAAAATCCAACCTATCTTTTTTGCTTATATATGTTTGTAATGCCCATTCATTCTTTCTGTTTTTAAAGAATTCTCCAATTATCTTTTTGTAAAATAAAATACAAAAGCCAAAAAAATTAGCACTCCTGAGCTATCCTACAATAACAAAACAGTCTGCACAGCTTAGTCTCATGAGCAACCCTACAACAACAAGCCAGGCTGAGCAGATTAGCATGACAGGCAGTCCTAAAATAATAATCATGGGCATCCCTACAATAACATGCTAGGGTGAAACCCTGGCTCCATTGAAGCCAATAGGAACTTTGTCCTTAACTTCAAATAGGACCAGGATTTAATCCCCGGTGTTTACAGCCCAGCACTCACAAAAAACCTACAAGACAAAGTTGGGAGAACTCCTCTGCCTAATGCGTTAATTTGAGTAACTTGGCTGGGTGTAGAGCACAAGTGGGGACGCACATGGAGTCATTTTGTACGCAGACACTGTTGCTGCTCTCAGGGCCGGCTCTAGCTTTTTTACTGCCCCAAGCAGCAAAAAAAGCGCTGCCCCCCAGCCGAGCGCCGCGCCGCCCCCCAGCCGAGCGCCACCAGAA